TGGCTTGGTACTGGGGGGACAGCAGGAGCTGACTGCCCGTGTGTGAAGAGGCTCCCCCGCAACTTCCCCGATGGTCACATTTTGTAGTGTGGCAGTAGCGGGAGCGTCGAGTGTCTGCCTGGTGTTCCTGGGATGGGGTCTCCCTGCGTGACCTAGCTTCTTCCAAACAGGCCAGGGACAGCCCTGGAGGTTTCTGCTGCAGCGAACCAGGAAGTCCCTCCAGGTGGGCACAGCATTGATGAGCGCAGCAGTGCAGTCATCCCTCAGTGCCCAGAGCATAGGACGGGGTGAGTGGTGCTCAGCTCTCGTTATCCCAGGTCAAGCGGTCTCTCGGCCATGAGGAAGAGGCACAAAAAGCAGAGCAGCACTGACAGTGTAAACACACGGCATCTGCTTGTAAAGCTGCCTGGGTCAACATGCCTACGCTGCGTGCTCACCCGACAGCCTGCTCTGGGACCCCTATCAACAGAATCTGCTGTCTCAGTACACAGAATCTCTGGGCCAATCTAGTTTTTTTCTTAGTTTCAACTTAAAATTAAGACCCCTCCCAAGCATCCACAAACCTTCGGCATCTGAAGAGGCTACGGGGGGCCATGCAGTGGCTCTCTGTCCCACAGCTGGGGTCCCTCAGCTCGAGACTGGGCCCTGCCCTAAGCCAGGTGTTAGCAGTACTCTGCCCGCATCGGCGCGCTGCCGGCTAAGGGAGATAACTGCCCTGTGCGCTTCCTGTGCCTGCCATGGGCCAGCCGTGTCCAGCCACCTCACAGTCACGGCTGCCGGCCGGGTGACAGCAGGTCAAGGGACATTCCCTGCGTGCTCCGAATACCAGGCGCTACCACGGAAACAAGTCCTGTTCCGCCTCAGGATCAACAAGAGTTTAGAAAAAGATTAAGCAAAGCCAGATGTTTGGGGGTGGACAGAGCTGCGCGGATGGGAGAGCTCAGCAGAGACTTCGAAGGAGGGATCTGCTACGGCCAGTTTCTGCTGCATCAAGGTTGCTGTGCTCCGAGAGCTCCCAGCAGGGCCCTTACCTTGTTCCAGATGAGGACAGGGGTTGGGATGCCCATGACTTCACAGCTCAGGTAGATCTGTGCTCCCGTCACATTCCAGATGTCCTTAGGAGGGGTCACGATGGAGGGTCCTGCAAAAAGAAAGGAAAGCAGGTGACTGCACGCCCGTCTCTGCACTAGACTTTTATGTGGGGTCAGGCACTGGGATGACAGACACCCCTTCTGACGGGTTTTGAGGATAAGGTGAAGGGGGAGCCCTGTTTGGAGCAAAGTTTGCTGGGCTGATCCCGCACCACAGCACTTCCCGCTCCAAAACTACACACGCATCCAACCTTGAAACCGTTGAGGCCGATGGGCACTTGCGGCAGATGGAAACACGTGCTGAGCAGTTCAGGTGGTCAGTCCACCTACTTGCAAGCCTGAGGTCAGAGGTAGGATAGTGGGTTTATTCTGTTCTCTTAGAGACTGAGCGGGACTTTACAAACTGCTGCCTCTGCTCACCATGCAGCCACCAGTGGACACTCAGCTGCCATGGAGGAGAGGACCCCCCTAGGAGACAAGGTGGGTCCCACTCGCTCTCCCATGCCACGGAGAGCTTGGCCAGCTTTGCAGCATCCTTTTTCCCAGCATGATTTTAATCTGCAGCAAAGCCTGTGGCAGGCAGCTGGCTGCATCTGTGCTGCTTCTGTCTTAGCTGTGTGCAATATTCAGCCAAAGGAGGCTGGCTGGAGGATGGCAGAGCTCTCCTTGGGGGGACCTGGGAAGGGAGCAGGTGAATGCAGAGCTCCGTTTTACCCCAAAGACCTCCAAACCCTGGTTAAACAGGGAGTTGTTTCCAAAGCCAGATGGGAACAGAGCTGTTTTGGAGATGTGGCTGGAGATATTTACCCCTCGGGCTGGGAAACGTTGGAGACATCACACATATCTCAGGAAGGGAAGAATGGCTTTTTCTGTTCAGTTCCCCTTCAGTGGGGCTGTTTTGCAAAATACAGCTATTAATTCCCCACAATAGGAAACGCAGACCAAAGGAGCACATAGTGTTTATTTCCACTTATTCATAGCTTGAAGAACACAGCAGATTTTCCCCTTTTGCTCTGAAGATGCAGACAGTGACAGGAAATTGAAGCTCCCATTGGGCTCCACCAGAAGTAGGCATTTCCTATGCGAACAAGGACTCCAGAGCCAGCCCCACTGAAGCCTCTGCATATGCTGGCTTGCATGCCATATGGCTCATTCCCAGCCCTATAAAAGAGTGACAGATTTGGGTCCTGATGCTCCTTCTGGGGTCCTAACGCTCACTGACCTCAGCCCTGCACATGCACTCTGCCCTGCAGCCCTCTTGCAGGCAGTGGGGAGCAGGTTTCAGGTGCATTCCACTGCACCAGCATCTTCCAGCAGAAAGCTGGCAACTTTTTTCCTCCTCAGGGTCTGAGAGCAGATCCATACTGGTATCACCAGCCAGAGAACATCAGCCATCCCTCTGTCTTAGCCCAAAGGATGACAAGGTGGGTCCCCGCTCCTGAGCCGCTGGTGTGATCCCAGAGAAGTGTTTGCCCTTCTCTTCTGAGAGTTCCCTGTGCAGGAATGACTGTACACGGCCTGCTGATGGGAAGCTGCTAAGAGACCAGGGGTGTCCAAACTCCCTCGCAGAGCTATCCCAGTCCTCAATTTTACCGGATGGTAGCTGCACAGAAGCAGGGAAGCTTTATGCACAGCCCCAGGCAATGGCTAAAACCACACCTGATGATCAGTGTGGGCTGGATTCCTGGCACATCTCACAACCCAGGCGCTCCTCGCCTGCACAGAGCTGTTGCCCACAGCTGAGAGAATGGATCTAAGCAGGGTGTCATTCAGCTGCTTACCCTGTCGCTGGTTGTGCCACTGCGTGGGCTGATTCCCATGCACTGGCCAGGTGAGGGGCCTGTCAGTCACAGCATCCTTTCCCCAATGGAAGGGTGCTAGAGTTATCTTTGCTTCAGGTAGCCCAGAGCAGATCTTGTACCTCCAGGTAGTGCTGGAGGTTGTTCCCTTGAGTACAACCATAGCGTAGTAAAGGGGGGTGATCTGTGGGGCTAGCACCCCCAGTGCACTCCTGCCCAAAGCCCTGGCCCCTGCAGCCAGCCCAGGGTATGGCCATCGGCCAAGACAGGGCCACCTCAGGTCACGCACTCTGCTCCCCTTCCCCAGCACGTGGCTGTTTCCTGCTGCTCTTTTTCTGGTATCCCTTGAACAACAGGGACAACAGGGACCTGGACGTCCCCAGGGGAGGCTTAGCTCAGCCCATGCTCTGCAAGGACCTGCAGCACATGCGCCCGGCGTAGCCTGCTGCCACCACCGCTGCCTTCGGCTCTGGCAATGCAAGACCCTCCATGGGCAAGGTGCCCGTCCGAGGGTGGAGCCTGGGGCCTGTCCCCGAGAGGCAGGGCAACGTCTACCCCTGCATGGTACCATCTCACCAGTCACTGGGGATCTCCATGAAGCAGGAGAAACAGAGCTGCCCCCAAATGACCACTGCCTCCCACCACAGAAAAGGAGATCCTGATCCTTGCGCTAAAAGCCAGGTGGATTTTAAGGCACTGCTCTGCTCTGCTCTGCCAGGATCTGGCTCAGTTCTTCCCTGGTTGGGAAGTGACAGCATTCGATGCACCACTAAATCCACTGCCTGAGGTGTCTCAGTTCTGGCTGTCACTGAGTTTTCCCCCAGTGTCAAGGGCCCAGACAACCTCTGTCTGTGGATGTTTGCTCGCACTGCCAGGAGAAGGTCACACTGGGAATCTTTGCAGCAAGTGCTGTCAGAGAGAAAGAGAGAGGGAATTTCTGCCCTCTTCCTGGGCAAGGAGAAATTACCTTCCCTGCAAAAGGGAACTGCCTGCACAGCTTCACGGCGAAGCTCCGGCTGGCTCGGCACAGCAGCCACAACACAGTGACAGCCTGGCTGCTACGAGGCAGTCCCCAGCTCCAGCTCCGGATGTACATCCTGAGCTAACCAGGAAGAACGTGAGACTCTGCCTTTGGCTGCAAAATTAACTGGGAGCAGTCACGGACCCCTGCCTCTATCCAGCACAGTCCTGAGGTTGGGAGGGAATGCATATCCCGAGAGATGCAAGTGTCATGGGAAGAGTCAATGTGGTCTCTTGGGATATCTGACTTGCATCCAGACAGCCAAAGTCTAGAGCTGGGCGTCTTCCTCCACTATAAATAAATGAGAAAGGCCAAGAAGTCAGCAGATTTAAAGTCAAACCACGACAGGCCGCAGCAGTAGCTGGACTCCCACTGCAGTGAGCTGACACCCAGGTGCTTGGCAGCCACCCTGCTTACTCCCTGTTTTGGTTTCACTCACGCTCTCTCCCACAGTCCCCTGAAGCAGCCAGAGATGGACACAGGACAGGACAACCTCCCACAACAGGAGGCGCAGGGGATGCCTGAACCTTGCGGGGACTTCAGAGGATGCGAGGACATTCCTTCCTGCAAGTCACCCCCCGGCTTCAGAGGTCCTTGTGAAGGGACCGAGGCCACCATGTGCTCAGAAGGACTGGAAACAAGAGCCCGCCTTGTCCAGAGCTGATGACTTGCTTCCTGCCAGCAAGAAGCCCCCTGCCCCTCATCCTGCAGCCTGCCTCTTGGAGACCTTGCTGCTCTACTAGCAGCGCTGCGCACAAAGGGGAGCCTTTCTCCATCTGCTTCCTGCGGGCTGGGGACTTGTGGGTTGCACCTGCTGATGGAAATGGCTCCCACCATCACCGTGGCGGAGTGGTCTCCGCTCCCCCCAGGGACGGAGCCGGGGCAGTGTGGATGTACAGGATGCACAGGAGCTCCTTGGCCAAGAGGACAGTGCAGGCTGCTGATGGAGATCAGCTGCTCGCCAAACGCACTTCAGGCATTTCCTCCCGGCTCTGCCCATTGCTCCTAGGACAAATAGCTCTCCCTGGCCCAGGAAGGGACTTAAGTACAGAGCCAGCAAGCTCATTCACCCCGGGAGAGGAGGCTGAAAGAGCAGGGAGTGTTTCTGCAGATCACAGGGAGCTGACTGCCTGTGTTATGTCAAAAGCAGCAGCTGGAGAGGAGTTTCCATTGCTGTTATGTAGTTGCTTTTCCGCAGCAGAGCCTGTGACTTCCTCAGTGAGGCCATCATTTGGCATCTGTTCCTGACACCCCTCCAGTGCTGGGCACCTCTTCTCTGCTCAGCCACAGCAGGCAGAGATCTGGCATCGCCCAGCCCACCCACCTGCCCCTGGACCTAGCTGATCTTCCCTTGGTGTCCACACACACACAAATAAATCACACCCCAGCAAGCAAAGCCATAACCTTTCAGCTAAAATCCAGGGGGTTACAGGTATGTCACTACAGGCAGAAAAAAAGCTCAACAATAAGCCCTGTGGGGTATGCCCTGGCACTTGGGTGTGCGTGGTAAGTCCTGGCCACAAGCACACAAAGCTGTGTACCGCATGCTGGAGTGCATGTGGGCACCAACTTGGTTGCCAGCCAGCCCTCCTGAGCGCCGCATCACCGTGCCAGAGCCCCGGGGTGAAACAGCCTGGGAACGCTCCCCGTCAGACAGCAAAGCAAAGCAAAAGCGAGACATTGTTCACCCCCGCAAGCTCTTGCAAGTCTGAAAATAGACCCGCTCCAGTCTTGTAAGCTGCTGGAAAAGTATTTTCCTTTCAGAATGACTTTATATGGAGAAAGGGAAACCCGTAAGCAGCATCTACTCATTGTAGCTGGCATGGTCTCAGCTGCTCCCTCCCGGGTCAGTGCTCTGCAAGGGACAGCAGCAGGCAGGGAGTGGAAGCAGCTTCTGGCCTTCCCCGTTCTCAAAGCTGCCTGTTGCCTTCTGGCAGATTTACAACACTCCTTCTTTACCTCTTTCTGAAGGCATTTCTTACCGTCCTTTAACTTGGCCTTGAAAAGACTAAGGAGTTACAGAAGGAAGCTCCGAGACATCTACACCAACGGAGATGCCGGATGCTAAGCCTGTTCTGATGCTCCCCCTCAGACTTCAGCAGCCCAACGACCCTGGAAAGGCTGCAAACACAGCTTTGCCCCAAGCCCTGGAGACATAAGGCTGAGTCAGCGTGAGGCAGCCCTGGGCCACCATCTATCTGCCGCAGATCATCTCCTGCTTCCCACCCCA